GGTGACCGTTTTAATATTTCAAACCGTGACCCAAAAGCATTTAGCCACAAATGTTAAACTTTGTGTTTATCAGCCGTCCCGCATTATTATCTTGAGAAATGTGTGTGTGCTCCACTGACGTCAACCTTTCAGGTCCTACAAGAGTATTTGCATTCCACAGCAGCCATGAAGCATTCGGCTGCCCCCCCCCTCTGTCCTGGACAACGTCCCGCAGCTTTCCTGTGACTTTATCTATCAGCACAGATTCACTCATTTAGAAGCTAAAATCGGCCCGAACGGCATAAAAGAAATAATCATCCGTGCAAAGCGTATAAAAAGTGGAATATTTAGAGACAAAGTGAAAAGACGCCCTCCGGATCCACAGATAAAACCTGAATTTGGCCCCTTAAGCGTGTCATTAATGGCTGTGCAAATGCATTTAAACAAATCACGCAGCCTGTCTGCAGACCCGCTTTTAAACTAAACAGAGAACAGTTACTAAACACGGGTGACGTCCTCCAACACAAATATTCAGCAAACGCCAGATCCCCCCCCCCCCTCCCCTCACCGGTGGAGAGTTTCCACTCAAATCTGCCAGTTTGTGAGCCAGATGTTACCTCATTGAATGTGAGAGGTGTTAAAGGTAAAAAGCCTCTAAGGTAACACTTTCATTTTCAAGTTTTTTCTTTTTAAATCAATAAATCTCTTTACAAAATCTATATCAAAACTGAAAAAATGTATTCCTGTGGAGGCAAACATTGTTGGATAGCAACAACCTACAACTCAGTGTAGATTTGATCATATTCATCCGGCTAATTATGGACTAATGAGCTGTTTTTTTGTTTGTTTTTTAATTAAATGGGCTCCACACTAGCTTCTTTCATGCAACCAGGGGCTGTTCGCCCCTCCCAAACGATCAAAGGTGACGCTTTTGAGCAGCCTCTGGCTGAAGTCTGTAGGAGCCTCGGTTGGATATCCAACTCCTCCCACATCCAAGTCAGCCATTTTGATTAGGTCATATGACTAGAAACTTTCTACGGTGGAAACAAAACTTTACTGTCTATACAAAATCGGAAGATAAACTATGTCCTAACCCTAACCCTAACCCTAACCCTCCAGCCTTCATAATTGTGAGAAATAAATATTTTTTGGTTAAACTTGTTTGGACTTATTGTACAAACCTATTTAACATCCACTATTTTAACATAATATTATGTATAGAGTTTAATTCAGTGTTTGAAAGATTAATTTCACTATTTTTTAATTATTCTCTATATTGCCATGAAGCAATTAGGGATTTTCTTGCCTGGGATTTTCCTATTGGTGACCTAATCAAAATGGCCGACTCGGATGTGGGCGTAATTGGACATCCATCCTGGACGTACTTGATGCTTTTCTCCCAGCTCTTCTGTCTGTACAAAACCTGTTCTTAGACACCGTTTTTCACAGCTCTTTTCAGAACTGCTTATACTATTATTATTATGCTTATATCATTCAACATGGCCGACACCATCATCTTTTTTTTTTTTCTTTTTCTTTTTTTTTTAAACGATTCTCAAAACTTTGCAAAAACAAAGGCATGTCAGTGATCGGCTTCAGGGGGTGTGGAGCGGCTCAGTCATCTTTACGAGGCGGAGTGTGTTTTGGATTAAAGGGGAAATAACTTTAGAGACTGTTTCTGCTCTGTGACATCTGTCTGACATTCCAGCATCTCATTCCTGAGCAACCGCACGCCGTTTGTGTCAAACGGCACATTTATCGGCCGCCAGAGGAAAGTAGTCAGCGATCAGTGGTGGAAGTAAACCACTGTGAGACGGTTTTTACACAAAAACTCAACAATAATTTAAAATAAAACCCCAAAAACATGGACTAGTGAAGGTTGAAGTGTGCTTTGGGCTGAGACTTTCTATCAGAGTCTGAGGGGAAATTTCCTTGGGAGACAGAAGTGAGGATTAAACTGAATGACAGAAAATGCCATTGGCAGAACATCTGTCAGAAATACTGAGGATGAAAGCGTTTTTATTGGCTGCACCGCTTCTTTCCAGAAGGATTGCAGGAGGCCGGGGTCTAATCCCATTGGGCGAGAGGCGGCTTCACAACTCCAGTCCATCTCACAACCACACACATTTACAGATAGAGCAATCAGAACAAGAACCAACCGTCTTAGAGACAGTTTTTACCCCGACAGCAATAACAAAACCAACCAAAAATAACCATTAATCATCATGGAATATGTGTGTGAGCATGTGCTATTCTTATTTATTAGTTGTTGTTTTTTTTATCGGTTATTTGTTAATTATTTTTTATATTGTGTGTAAATGTATAAATTATTTTTATTTTATTTTTTATTTTATTTTATTTTTTTAAATTATTATTATTATTTATTTATTTTTATTTTATTTTACATTAAAATTACATACACATGGAAATTATGTTAGCTTTTTATGTTTATCTTTACCTGTACAGCACTTTGCCAACTTCGGTTATTTTAAATGTGCTCTATAAATAAAGTTTGGCTTGACTAATTGATTAATTAATTAATTAATTGATTAATTAATTAATTAATTAATTAATTAATTAATTAATTAATTAATTCGTTTTTTTAAGCATATGCACTGATTGATGGCACTTTTAAATTTTGTCGTTCTTGTGACAATGACAATAAAGATTCATTTATTTACCCCACATGCTATTTAAAATCACCAACTAGCCAAACATGCATGTTTTTTTTGTTTTTTTTTTACTGTGGTAGGGAGCTGGAGAGCCCAACCAAACATGGGGAAAAACACCGAAAGTCCCAGGAACTCAAACCGAGAACCCTGGGAGCTCCCCACAGCTCCAGAAACAGAAGAAAAACGACCAAACTGCAGCTGAACGGCTTCAAAAAGCCAGCGATCGATCACGGAGGCCACTCTCGTGCACTTTTCGGCCCGTGTGGAAACGATGACAAATGCATTTTACAGGAATGTTTCACATCTCGGGCCAGTGGAGCTGCTCGGCCTCCAGCGTTTTCAGCCCTGTCTTTCTCATTCTCATTTCTCGTTCCGTCTCCGGCCTGTCGATCTGTCTCCTCCAGCATTCCTCTGTCACTCACAGAGGGCAGTGCATGCTGGGAGGTTGTGTCTGAATGAGCCCGTGGGCACTTCGGCATCCATCAACACCCGATTCAGACTCTTAACCCGGGTGGGATGTTTTTCTAACCTTTTCGAGCCATTCAGACAGACGGGGAGAAGAACGAGCCAATGCTATTCATCACTTGCACAAACACATGAGCCCTCTGTGTGTGTGTGTGTGTCTATCTGTGTGTGTGTGTGTGTGTGTGTGTGTGTGTGCACAACAGGATGCTGCCTGATTTTTTTCAGATCTGTAAACCCCCCAAAAAGGTCGGTCCTGAGAAAGCATGGCCTGGTCTACAATATGCTAAAGACAAGGATAAGTGTGTGTGTGTGTGTGTGTGTGTGTGTGTGTGTGTGTCTGTGTGTGTGTGAGACTGTGTGTGCACAACAGGAAGCTGGCTGATTTTATTCAGTGCTTTAAACCCACCAAATAGTTAGGTCCCCAGAAAGCATGGTATAGTTCTGCGTCCTACAATATAATAAAGACAAGGATAGGTGTGTGTTTGTGTCTATCTGTGTGTGTGTGTGTGTGTGTGTGTGTGTGTGTGTGTGTGTATGTGTGTGTGTGTGTGTGTGCACAACAGGATCTTCCTTGATTTTTTTCAGAGCTTTAAACCCACCAAAAAGTTAGGTCCCCAGAAAGCATGGTATAGTTCTGCGTCCTACAATATACTAAAGACAAGGATACGTGTGTGTGTGTGTGTGTGTGTGTGTGTGTGTGTCTGTGTATGTGTGTGTGTTTTTGGACTTTAGGAGTCAGTGTGGTTTTTAAAAAAAATGGAGCTACATCATGTGCTGCAAAGCCTCGGTTTCCATTTCAAGAGCAAAACAAACTATGCACACTATTTATCTCAAAAGCTCCTGTTCAGACAGAAATATTTAAATTACACGGTGCGCAAACGCAAACCTCCTAAAAACGCAGCATTAACGTGTCGCCGCGGCAACTTGGAAGCTCGGCTGAGTGTCCACGGAGAGTTTATCTCCCCCTCTCAGAGAAGGACAAACATCCAGAATGCAAACAGGAACATTTTAATCGGAGGATCTTCGGTCATTTGTGGCTGTTGGGGAGTTTTTTGCTGACTTGTGTGTATATGTATGTGTGTCTGTTTGTGTGTGTGTGTGTGTGTGTGTGTGTGTGTGTGTGTGATGCATGGGGCAAAAGCTATTAGCATGATCACAAACTAGAAGAAGTAGATAGTAGATGGAAGATGTTTCTCCATCACTTTCCCAGCTCAGGAAGATGGACGGCCATGTTTATTCCAAGGGAATTCTTCTCCACGGTCCCAAAAACCAATTTCAACATTTAGGCTTTTATGCATTCAGCAAATGAATCAAGCTAATATTAGATTTTGATTCATCTTATCTAGTTATGGAATGCGGATTTGGGAAAACTTGGAAGTTTAAGGCACCACAGTGAGTTCCCTTTTAGTGGTCAAGCAGTCGCAGATGTCGGCAAACAAACACAAAGAGAATTTCCCGTCAAGTCTTCGAAAAAAGAATAAAGTGAGCATGCCGACCCAAACTGAAGCCCGTTTAGAAGTCTAAAGGTCTGAGAAGCCCAGTCGCACACACTCAGGCTAAAGCACTTAGCAAAGGTTGTTCCACTGAAATGTTAAATTCCTCAGGGTTTAGCAATATTTCCTTCAAAAGGCCGCAATTGAACTGTATGGCCTTCGTCGGCTCATTCTTTTAAATTGGAAGAATGATGGATATGTGATGTTATGTTTTACTTAAAAATTTAAAAAAACGAGATGCACACTGAATGGATCATTGACTAAGTTTGATATGACATGGCGTCCATTTATTTCCCCAGTAAAACAAATATCTCTGCATTTTGAGTCTGAATAAGATTTTTTTTAATGTCATTTGGACAACCACTCTGGTCTTTTTAGTTTTTTTAAATTTTCCTTTTTTATTTTTGTGACTACAGGTATGTTTTTGCCCTGCCACCCAGATAATGCTTTTTTTCTTTTTAATTATTAAAAAAAAAAATTATGATTTTTCTTCCTGTATTTAGGCTCGGCTGTCTTTTTTTGTGTGATTTAAAAAAAAAAAAGCTAGATTAATATATATTTATATACTAAATAAATATACTAAAGCTATATAAATGTATAATATATACACAAATAAATTCTTCAAGGTTTGCACACAAACACACACACACACACACACACACACACACACCCGCCTCACCTTCTTGGTGGCCTCCCCCTCCATCTCGGGGGAGCTGGGGGCGGGCGGCCACAGCATGCTGGGGGCGATGCACACCGACAGGTTGAAGGCGTTCATCTGGTTGTCGTGGGCGTTGCCCTGGATACGGTGCAGCACGGCCACCACGTGCCGCAGCAGGAGCAGGTTCTCGCCGGGCAGGAGGCTCAGCAGCCTGCAGCCAAAAGGGAAAATCAGCATGAAAACCACCTTAAAAAAGGCCCGTCCTGTACAGAACTATAAACCATATTTTCCCAGGAGTTATACCAAAGGATGTTGCAGTTGCGGTGCTTGGTATTATACCAGATAGTTTGCAAGGACAGGCCAAAGCATATCTGTTAAATGTCCTTTTTACAGCTGCCCTGAAATGCATCACAATAAGGTGGATGCAGCTGGAGCCCCCTTCCTATGACTTATGGGTCCAAAAAGTAAGGGAATTGTATAAAATGGAAACGATAACCTACTCATTAAGACTTCAAAAAAACACTTTTAACCTGCGCTGGGGGCCAGCAGAAGCAATGTTGATGTAAATAAACCCAACAAGTTTGTCTCTTGGCATATGATGTCTAGCTATCCCTCCCAAAGTGTATCCTTATTTTGGGGTTGTATGACGATGAACCTACAATTGTGACTAAGATGTTTATGTATGGAAATCTTCATATTGTCAACATTTGTGTCATGTACCTTTAATGCATGGCTGTATCATTGCTCTGCAAAAATAATAAAAGTCTAAGTTCTAAAAAAAAAAAAAAGGCCCATCCTGGGTCCTGGAGCAGGTTTTCCTGGACTCCCCCCTCTTTTTCCTCCCGTTATTGCTTTGAAGCTTCCTGCTTTGTGTCCTTTTACATGTGCAGATACATAAAAGATGTCAGCGGTGTTATCTATCTGTTTTTTTTTGTCCTGTCTCCATGTGGTCTCCTCACTTCCTGTTTTATTTTGTTAAGTAACCCTAATCTGGTTTCAGGTCACTTGCCTTGATTGTTGTTTTCCGATCCTCTTAGTTTTGTCAGACTCTCGTGAGTATTATTTTGTAACGTGAGGGTTCGATTAAATGGTGGTTGGATCACTTTTCAGAAGGAGAACCCAAAGGATGAAGACAGGGGAAGTTTTCCGACCACTTTTTAAAAATCTTTTTCCAACTTCCAACACACACACTTCCTTGTTTTTGTCACATGACTAAAACCAATGAGAATCTAAACTAAGGCAAAGCGGATTCAACTAAATGTCTTAAAGATGTTGTCGTGAATTGAATAAAATATCATTATACGAACTACAGAATTAACTTAACTTTACAATTATTTTGTTACTTTGTCTCATAGGCTTTTTGAGTGATTCTGATTTGATACTTTTCCCATAACTTCCTCATTGAGCAATATTAGTTTGAGCCTTGTTTCCACTCTTTGAGAGTTTGCCCTGAGTTTAATAAACCTTTTTTAACTATATCTCTGCATCTGAGTCCTGTCTGGGTATCGTCCTGACAAAAGGAGGGTTTCTTTTAAGACTGGGATCTGGGAGTTTTGGGTGTTTTCAGATTTTTTGGGTCCTACCTCTGCACGGCCGGTATCCTCTGCTCCCCTCCGTCCCCCTCCATCACTTCCATCCACTGGTGGAACAGGTCCACACACAGCACGCTTCCCGGGATGTTTCGCAGGAAATCCTGCGGGCAACAAACAGACGGGATGAGGTTTTCCCCTTTTTCCCTCAGTCAAGCTCCAACGTGTTCGACGTTTGCCGACTTTAACGGATCACAAAGCCTGAAACGGTGGGCCTGACTTCTCAGGAAAAATGCTCACATTCACCAGTAAAAGATACAAAAGACACAGGAATGATCGTCTTTGAGGCTGAGTTCATATAACCTCAACCTTTTTCTCGTTATGGAGGCCAAAACAAAAACATCCTTCAACTTTCCGGCTTTTGCATCTGAACATTTTATACCACCAGAAACGAATCCAAATGTGAGATCCGTGTTGTGGTAAAAACTGAGCCTGCTGGAAACTTAGGGAAAATGTCCTTGGCCGTACTTTCAGTTTGAGAGATTTTGTGTTTTTCTGGATTAGCTGTGGGCACGGCGCCCTGATATTCCAGTTATGTGGCTCTGGGTTCCATGGATTGCAAAATCAAGGGCAGTTCCTCCCCCAGACACTCGTTTCTGACTAATTATATATATTGTATGAAATTGTGTTATATCAAACTGGTCCTATAGTGTGTAAATG